AGAAAGAAAGAAAGAAAGAAAGAAAGAAAGAAAGAAAGAAAGAAAGAAAGAAAGGAGAAAAGAAAGAGTTGAATACATATAGAGGCCAAAGATTAAGCAGTCATTAATTAAATGGCCTAAACTTTTGCCACTGAAATCATCAAATTATGTGCTACTGAATTTATAAACTATTGAGGAATTAGCAATTTTGTGTTAAATACAAATAATATTGTCAAGAAATTAGGTAATCAGAATTTTAAATTGTGTAATCAAAATTTTAAATGTAGATAAAAATATTTTAAATGTCTTTCCTGGTGAACCTGGGACTTGATCAGCTGGGCCCTGCTGTTCCAGGCTTTCATGTTTTCTGCTGTGATCCCATGGCAGTGTATATATGCAAAGCATTTGTGGAGGCCAAAAGACAACCTGTCGGAGTCAGTTCTCTCCTTCTATCATATGGCTCCTAGGGATCTGTCTCAGGTCTCTCATCTTTTATAAGGAGAAATTCTAAGTTTAATGTTGTAAACAGTGCAGAGCTTGTGCAGTGTGGGTTCTGACACCCTTCGGGAAGGCCAAAACTTAAACCCTGACTGATCAGCTTCTATCTTACCAACCATACTTTTCAACTTCTTTCCTGAAATATTTATCATTTGATTACATTTTCTTGTTCTAGGTGGCTTGAATCAGCCAGTGGAAGTGACGGCGTTATACTCGTTTGAAGGGCAGCAGCCAGGGGACTTGAAGTTTCAAGCTGGAGACAGAATCACAGTTATATCAAAGACTGATTCACATTTTGATTGGTGGGAAGGAAGACTTCGAGGTCAAACTGGAATTTTCCCGGCCAACTATGTAACTATGAATTAAAGTTCATGCTATTTTGTTATTTGATAATTCCACAAAAATATTTCTACACAGACAGGATTCACTATTTACAGTAAACAGTAAGCTGTTTAAACACATCCTTGTTCTGCAAATGTTTTATCCAGTTGTAAAAAAGATTTTTTCTCTGCATATAAATAAATGATTAAATTAACATGTCCCTAAAGAGTCTTTATTAACTTAATCACATAACCTACTGTACAGTGGTTGTCGACAGTTTCTGTGGTCATGATATTTTTGTGCTTCTCATACCCCGCTGCCCCTTGAATCTGACTGCTCACAACCACTGTTTTCATGTAAACCATGCCTGTCTGGGGAGTGCTGTTCACTTTTACATGAATACGGGTCAACCTCCAAACATCTGGGTGTGGTAGAAGTTTGTTGCTTTCATTTAACTACATTTAAGTGATTATGTAAGATTGTGAACATAAAGACTCGGAGGCGCCCACAAAGGACAGGGGCCTCAGGGCCTCTCACAGAGAAATCTGTGTCTGACTCTTTCCCAACCTGCCATGTTTTGCTGTTCTCTCTCAAGATAAACCATAGAAACTAAAATTTCCCTTTCCCAAGAAGTATCATAGATACTAGAATCCCTTTTTCTCAAAGCAAATCTTCATGCATAGAAATAGGAATCTTCCCCTGTTCCTTCACCCTTCTATCTTGGAACTAACCATAAAGAAATTCTGTGATGTGCTTTGCTTGATAAATCCTAAGAACCACAGTAGGCACGGGCAGGGAATATCAGATACTTGCCGGATGCAGTTGTGCACAGGTGTCCATTTATCATAGAACCTAAGCATAAGTCAGTCTGGAAGCTCCCATGAAGGTGCCCCATAAAATGAAGATCAAAGATATTTCTTTTGCTTCTCCCCTGGTAACTTGTCTTTGGCGAAAGTTATTGTGTAGTTGGCAGAAAGTGGACCACTTCCTTTCCATCTCTGAAGGGAACAAGATCAGATCATCTTACATGTCATAGTAAATTCTTGCCCTGGACAAGAATGTGTATATTTTAGTTAATTTATAACCAAATTATAATTATAACCAGCCTTCATGACTGATCTGGAACAGTTTGCCCAACCTCTACACCTCACTTTCCGCACCTCTGATGACTGCATAAAATGCTGAGAACAGTGCTGTGCATGTGAATAAATCATTAAACATTAACAACTAATGGCACATTCTTTACATGGCAAAAGAGTGCTGCCTTGTCTAGTACCAGTTGGGCTGCCCATGTACCTAAGACACACTGAAAGGGAAGAGGCCTTGCTTTGCATTTCCTGTGTGTTCAGGTGCTGAGGTGGCTTACTGGTACAGGCACCACAATATTCAGGATGCTGAGGCTAATTCTGCCAGGCCTGTCACCCCTGGAGTTCATTCTCTGCTCTGAGCACCTTCTTTCAGATGCCTGCCCAACCCCTCAAGGTGCAGAGTGTCAGGCCACTGTCTCACCTGCTGAGCCCTGGCTGGGAAGCTCAGATCCTACAATCTTTGTGTTGTCCAGAAAAAGTGTCTCAAAGCTACAGAGGTCAAGTGAAGATACGGAGAGTTAAACTTGTGCGTTGGCCCACAGATACTTTCAGGCCACATGTTTTGTTCAAGAAAAACTTGAACAATGGAGAAGAAGAACAATAAAAACTAAATCAAAAGTAAGAAAGTATAGCAGGTTTAGACACTGATAAGCACTAAAAGAATATTATTGGTGGCACATAGGAGCAGGATGTGGCTCCCATCAAAGATGGCTAGGAAAACCCATCTGTGGAAGATGTGGCATAAAGACATGAGGAACAAGAGAGCTCTGTACAGAAGTTCCAATTTCTTGAACAATGTGATGGCTGTACTTGCTAATGACATGCCCTGTTCTTGAAAATCACTAAGACAGCAGAATTTAGGTATTTTCACCCCTCTGATGAGGATGTGAAGTAATATATACTGTAAGTAAATTTAATCACTCCACAATGTTTACATAGTCCAAAACATTTTCTCATACATGGTAATGGCATCCATTTTACTTTTTAATTAAAGTAGATGTTTAGAAAGAATCTTTAGGCTAAATTAGAATGCACTGGATGTATGAAAAGATTTTGTAAGTGCAAGAAACAATGAGTATTTTACCTAGAGAGGTCATGAAGGCAGAAGGAAGACTTCTTGTACCAGCAATTGCAAATACCCATGAAGGAAGTTTGTGTTCTGTGTATCTGTATTCTCATGACAGGGAATACACTTGTCCTAGAACTGTAGATAGACGCTGAGAAACACGAGCTGTGAACATGACCCAGTTAGAGGTTGTAGAGGCTTGTATTGTTAATACAATGGTTTTCAGGATAAAGAAAGGCTGTCAGTAAGTGGGCTGTGAGCATAAGCAGTAGAAGCAGAGAAAGCAGGATCTTCCCAGCAAATAAAGTCTGCACTCCATAGTTGAGCAGTGACATGGAAGAGGTGGGACAGGCTTGGTAAAGACAGAAAAAAGATGTGCTTATCCCTTTTCACCATGTTCACTTTAGGGATCCCCCCCCCCCAAGACACATCCAAGTCGGTCTGTAATGAAGTGGAAGGATCTGAAGCCAATATTGGAATCTGGAAACATTTGCTGTATAGTTTATTGTCAAAGACCAGCTTCAACAGGTCAGGATAAACTGAGGGTAGGCATTGAGTGGGCAACTGGTCACTCAGCAGACTTTTCTCCGAGGGAACAAAGGTTGATTCACTGGGGCCAGCAAAGTACTCCCTGTGACCGGGGGAAATACTCCTTGGGGGCCAGCAAAAAAAGCAGGGAGGGGAAGAATCATACACACACATACTTGGTGGATAAAGTAAGCTTCAACAAACTCCAACAACTTCACACACACACCTACATACATATAGACAGACAGACAGACAGACAGGACAAATGGACATATGCATTTGGTGGATGGAGCAAGGCTCCAACCAACTTCACATACATACACAAATACACACATACATATTGGGTGGATGGAGCAAACTCCAACAAGCAAACTTCAAAAAGTTTACACATATGCACATACACATGTATACATCTTGGGTGGATGGAGCATAGCTCCAACAAGCGACCTCCAACAACTTTTTTTTTTCTCCCAGCAAATATCCCAGCAAAATCTTTTAAGTAGTACAAAAATCACAATGTGGCTACATTCTGTTCTTCTTTAAGCCTATGATTACAATGAGTATACGCAAAAAGAAATGTGTCCCCTAATACCCACACATGGTCAAATGTTTTACATAGTGTGAGTGAAAAACAAATTATTCCCAAGAACCCACGTGTGCTTGTAACTAAGCAACTTGTTATAGATTAACAAAGTGTAAGCAAGCAAGAAATTTTCTCAGCCAGTTTCTCTTTACTGACAGGCTGCAATTTGAGGTTATAAAGAAAGGACCAATTATTATTTATCTTAAGAAGTAATCTTATAAAATCTTAAGAGAATCATAAACCTAAACTTTGGTATAAAAAAAGTTTTCTAATTTGTATCTTAAATGTACACATCTACTCACTAACAATTTTTTATTAAATCATATCAGGAAGCTGAGGACAAAAATTGAGTACAAGAAATTAATCATCACCTTGATCACCAGCCCAGCTTTAGCCAAGAGTCATGTCAGCCAGTGCTGATTGTGCTGCCATTGTTTATCTTCCCTGACATCAAAAAAATCCCAGCTCACCTACTAAGAGTGTGCTTTCTGCAAACGGAACAGACATCGAAAGTGGGTGAGAACAGGGAACAAGACAGGAGCCTACCACAGAGGGCCTCTGAAAGACTCTACCCAGTAGGGTATGAAGGCAGATGCTGAGACTCATAGCCAAACTTTGGGCAGAGTGCAGGGAATCTTAGGAAAGAAGGGGGAGATAGAAAGACCTGGGGGGACAGGAGCTCCACAAGGAGAGCAACAGAACCAAGAAATCTGGACACAGGGGACTTTTCTGAGACTGATACTCCAACCAAGGACTATGCATGGAGATAACCTAGAACCCCTGCACAGATGTAGCCCATGGCAGCTCAGTCTCCAAATGGGTTCCCTAGGAAGGAGAACAGAGACTGTCTCTGAAATGAACTGATTGACCTGCTCTTTGATCACCTCCCCCTGAGTTGGGGGCAGCCTTACCAGGCCACAGAGGAAAACAATTCAGCCAGTCCTGATGAGACCCGATAAGCTATGGTCAGATGGAAAGGGAGAAGGACCTCCTCTATCAGTGGGCTGGGGGAGGGGCATTGGAGGAGAAGAGGGAGGGAGGATGGGAATGGAAGGGAATGAAAGAGGGGAGCTACAGCTGGGATACAAAGTGAATAAATTGTAATAAAGAAAAAAAAAAGGTCTAGATTCATTAAAAAAAAAGTGTGCCTTTCTGAACCACAAATTGTTCCCTACAATTTCCTACATCAGAGCCACTAACAAAAACTTTTAACCTAACTTTACTAACACTCTGCTTCTCAACATTCTTTCTAAGGGCCGTGGTCATTGCTAACAATCTACATCTCTTTGTTCTTCGTGAGGGTGGTGGATGAATCATTAATCTGCCCCAGCAACAATGCTTGAAAAGATCAATCACTATTTTTGTAAGTGCCTATGGTACTGCCCAGTGAAGGCATGGAAGCCCTTTAGAGTTTTCCTACAACTCACGATTATGAGGGATGTGATGACTGTGAAGGCATCAAGCACAGCAAACTCGACAACAGCATGAAGTCCTCAGGATCCGTAGTACTCTAATGCTCATCGAGATTGGGCTGGCTGGTGGGCTGCATTCCAGGAGTCCTAAGCTGCTTTGCTGTTCCTCCTGCACAGCCCCCAACAGTTTGTGATTTAAAAACTGGTTTTGAGGGAGCAGAGCTACACCTGTGCACAGCTCCTGACAGGAAGAGAAAAAATCCTGTATATGGGGAAGAGGTGTCCATGTGGGCTCAGAGTCTGAACACACAAGGAAATGAGCACTGCCTTGGCACGGGCAGCTCAGCAGTTCCCTGGATCACCATGGGCACCACAAGCAAAGCCCCACTAGACAAGTGCCTGTGTTGGTGCTGGCAAAGGCTCAGAGGCTGGTACAGCGTCTGGGGCCAACTTCCATGCTTACTCTCATAGGAAGGAATGAATAAAGTCTTAACAATAAATCCTGCTGGCAGAATCAGTAAGTACAACTATGCAACT